AATTTCTAAGTTATTTGCAAACTGTAAAAAAATATAACTGTAAATGTCGCATATTGCTAATTACTAAAAATTAATCAAAATATGCAAAAGTATTTCAAATTTAGTAAAATGTATTTAATAAAAACATGAATGAAACAGCTGTTAGCTTGCTAAAATCATTGTTCTTCTTTTGACTGACATTTTAATGTATATCGAGTTACTGTAGAAGTATCAAATTCTAACAAAATATAGATAATTTAATTTTGTGCAAACTTCCTAAATATTTCATTAACATTGGACAAACAAATGATTTGTATTTTATCACTTATGATTCAAAAGAAAAAACATTACTTACAAAGAGCATATATATTTTTTGACCCATTTGTGATGTAGATATTGATTTATTAATAACAACTGTACTTATATTAACTATTATTAGTATAAAAATTAATACACTAATATTTGTTTTCAAAGAAAACGTTCAAAAACTTATTTCCTTGTATAAATAGCACACTTTTTGTTTTAAAACACATTTGAAAATAAACCTGTCACAACAGACATTTTTAACCTCAAAACAACTGTCAACAAAATTTTGACGTTTGAGTTTGACATTTCTACAATATAATTCAATTCTGACGTTTAAAGTAACAAATTCATGTATTAAAAATTGTTTCTAAATCAATATAATTTATTATAATATATAATATTACAATGTGTTGAAAATGTATTTAACATTATTCATATTGTTTAGAATTATGCCCAACAGTTTTGTCAAAATATTTATGAATTCATAAACATTAACCACATTGCCTTAAAATTAAAATATAAAACATTATTTAGTACTTACCTGATCACAAAACAGTACACTTTAACTTTAAATCTATTTACATTTGCGACATGGATAATTATTATTATGATAGAGTAACTTGTTCAACCAAGTCCCAGACAGCACAGACACAGACTGTTGATTTATTTTAAAATATTTACAACAGAAATTAAACATAGAGCACAGAACATATATTTATATAGACTGGTAACATAGTTTTTAGTATCAACGTACAGCAGTTAAGTTTAGTTTTCTTTCCATTTCTATTATCAATTACATATATATATATATATAATATATATATATATATATATATATATATATATATCGGTAAATGTGCATATTTCGGTGAATGTGCACATTTACCGGCTCATTTGGCGAATGTGAGTTCAACTAGCGCGCGTGCGCACGTGCGAGTGAAATACTAATTCATATATTTATATTTATATTTATAGTTATATTTATATTTATATTTATATTTATATTTATATTTATATTTATATTTATATTTATATTTATATTTATATTTATATTTATATTTATATTTATATTTATATTTATATTTATATTTATATTTATATTTATATTTATATTTATATTTATATTTATATTTATATTTATATTTATATTTATATTAATTATTTTAGTCATATGCATATTAATACCCATTATTTATTACTATTGATCAGTTAACAATTTATTTATTAACTATTAACTATGAACTATTAACTATTTAATTAATAACTTTTAACTATTTAACCATTAACTATTACCTATTTAACCATTCTTAATTCACTATTTACTAATAATGATTCCCTATTTGCTAATATCTATTCACTATTTACTATTAACTATTCAGTTATCACTGTTCACGATTCACTACTTTACTATTCAAATACTATTATATATCTTGATCAAAATGAACAAATCTTCAACAGAATGTTATTAATCATTTATCACCATTACACCTTTTTGGTACAAAATTTGTAACATGCTTGACGTATTTCGCGCATAGTCTTTATTGCGCATGCGTCAAATACGCGTGATATTCACAAGACCGATCCAAGTACGCACGTACACCATTGTTTTAATTTGATTGTTTGAGAACACGCCACATTCACTTAGCGTTTTGGGGAATGTGCACATTCACCGGTGAATGTGCACATTCGCCGAGAGTGCACATTTACCGTAACATATATATATATATATATATATATAAAATTAATTAATAAAACAACATTTGCTAATTTTAATACGCACATAAATTTATTTCATTGAAATTATACAAATGAAATAAAAATATTAATTACTAATTGAATAAAATATACAACAAATTTCTAACATCCCTCTCTTACGTGCAAAAATGTATATGATTATTTAAATTCGCAATAATAATAACAAATTTGTATTATTCAACAATAGTTCATATTATTAATAATATAATGTTAAAACTAAGAAATTATTTAGATTAATTATATTCAATTATTTCATTTATACATATAATCCCCTGTCCTTGACCACGCCATTGCGTACCATATACTGAGGTCAAAGCATCCCCCTTGATCTTGACTCGGAATCTGATGGGCGATCGTCGGATGCACTCGCAGAATGTCCTTCCAGAAATCTCAAGCACTCGACACAAAATCGCTACTTTAGAACCACTATATAACTTTGTCTTTTACAGGTCTATTCGACATGTTGCAATTGTTCTAGTAAAGTCTTTACACAACACAGGACACACGACTTACATTAGAGACTCTTGTAAATTTAAAATTCTATTTTAACAGATATGTGGTGGAGTATAAGTATAACCTACAAAGGCACATATATAAATTATACTATTGATAATTGCATGTATATAATTAAAGGATACATTGGTGCTGTAAATAAATTGTTTAATTTTAAAATTGTTTCAAAATTGAGATCCTGAAAGAAACACTTATCAAACTATTCAAGGTACACCTAGATACTTCCAAACATACCCATTTTTTGGCTTTTAATTAACGTTACACGATAAATTTATTATATCAAATTGATCTACTAAATTAATTACACGTTTTGATGCATAAATTAATTAAAACTAATCAAAGATTTAATTAAAAAGTCTTAATTAACGCTAGCACATGTTAATTAACGAAAATTTCTTTGACAATTGAGGCGACTGAACTTAGCAACATGTGTCAAAATGTCTGTGGCCACTTGTACAATTTAAAGCGCGAAATTCAAATAAAAATTTAAAACACTGTATTTTACCTATTTGAATATATACGGTAAAAGGCTAAGTGTGTATATATATATATATATATATATATATATATATAGTCTTTGGATATGTGATAGATAATTTTTATATAGAGCAAGCCTCGGAGCAAGCCGCGAGCTTTCGACCTAAAAAAAAATTTCCCCAAAATTGTCGGAGTAATCAAATTAATATTTATTAATTTAGTTAATAATAATTATGTACTGGCAATTAAATTTGTATATACATACAAATCGTGCCTTATCTAATCGTACCTTACTTATTTCTAAAATTTAAATTTAGAATGTATGTGTGTTTAATAAACTTCTATAATCAATTGATTATAGAGATAGTTAAAAAAACAAATGTGCATGTATAATATTATAATATAGTTACAAAATCTTACTTATTTTTGTTAGTATGTTAGTAAGTAATTATTTACTTACTTTGTCATTATTTTTAATTTTATACTTAAGATTCATACTTTTGTTCTTAAAATCCATATTTTTTTATAGTTTAAAGATAAATATATAAATTAAAATTATATTATAAAATTATCTGAGTCTTTGATAACTGTATAAATTATTATTATATAATAGTTATTTGTAATAGTAATTATAAATTTTATGGTATATAATTTATATTATTTTCAGCTTGTTTTAAGTATAATATTCAAATCAAATATTTATTACTAAGCTAAAATAATCTTATAAAGCAATTTAATTGAAGAATTTTAAATTTTCAAGCTATTTTAATCACTTTGTACAATATACTTTATATAACAACACTTTTGAATACAAATATTTTCTCAAAGATTAACTTTTCTGTTTGAATTTCGCGCTTTAAAATGTGCAAAATGCGGCAGCGGTCATTTTGTTAACTTTAATCTTTTCAAATGTCACGACATTTTTGTGAATATGCTCGCGTTCATTAAGCGTTTTTAATTACATCAATTTGTCAATTACATCTTTGATTAGTTTTAATTAAATTGTGCATCAAATCGTTTAATTAAATCTGTAGATCAATCTGATATAAACAATATATCGTGAAATATTAATTAAGAGCCAAATAATGGGTATGTGGGGAAGTGTTTAGGTGTACCTTGAATAGTCATAATTATCTCTTGCAGGGCCCCCATTTCGAATCAATATTATAATTAAACATTTTATTCACAGTGCTAATGTATCCTTTAATATAAAATAGAGTATATGGCAGATTGAATAATATACACATGAACAGGATATGACAAATTAATTAACTTAAAATATAAAATTAAGTATTAATCAGAGCCGATCCTACATTTAATGCGATGCATGAGAAAAATATGGGCGCATGCCTTAGGGGGCGCCAACAAAAGATTCGGATATTGAATTTTCAATATAGTTTTTTTTTTCAATATAGTGTGAGAATTGAGACTCATCATTTTATTTAAAGCAGTTCTACAATTAACATCGCTAATATTATAAAAGTATATGCATTTTGGCGTAAAGAGTAATTTAAGCGGTAAATCTTAGTATATTATATTAAAAAATTGTAGACATGAGCACAGGACAACGTCTGTCGGGTCATCTAGTTAAATATAATTTGATTAAACTGAATTTATAAAAAATATATACTTGGCTTATCAATATATATTTCATCTGCTAACCTATTTACTTGTCGGTAACGCATACAAATTAATCGACCTTTTTCACGCCGATATTTTTTATGACTATCAAAAAGACGGCATACTCAAAATAAAATTCATGCACTTTCATCACAATACAAATAAAAAAACTTAAAAATTGTTTGCATCTTTCGCGCAATAGTTTTTTATCTACTCTTACACTTATTACATAATGAACTATCTGCCAGTTTAAATTTGAATATGTTTTCTAATAATTGTATTTAAGTTAAAGTGCAACTACATTAAGTACATGTTAATTTGCATCAAAATTATTATTCATATTGTGTAAATTACTGCGAATCCAATTTGCTTTTTAACCATTCACCAAATTGATCTGCCCCGGATTGATTGATTTCTTCATAACCGTATGGTTCCAGAGCCGCCTTAGTTCGCTCATACCATGCTGATAATTGTGGATAAATTGATACGTCAGTCCCACATGACTATGAAAAATTTTCATTATATTAATAATTTAATTTTCTGATTATTAATATTCTGTTATGTTCAGAAATGTGTATAATTCAATATTATTTATAAATAGAAAATAATATTTCCGTTTTTATATTCTATATATACCTCAATATTTGATACTGTGGTTACTAATGCAATGTCGGCTATAGTTATTGTAGGACCAGCAACCCATTCTTTATCCTCTAGCATTGCTTCCAAAATTTCCAACGCATCTTGCAAATTTTCCAATTTTTGTTCGTCTATTGATGTCTGGCCTTTGAATAATATGGGATACTAAAATTTAAAAACATATCGCATTATAACTCATTTTTTGCTAACATGACTATTTGTTAACTTCCCGTAGGGTGAGTTATTGTAATGGGCCGAAAATCGGAATGGAAAATTTTTACATTTCTCGACGTTTTGAAGGTTTCTGAACATTTTGGCATACTTCAAAAAAAATGGATGTGTGTGTATGTATGTATGGATACAATTTTTCGCCCACGTTTTCAGGCGTACGGATCAACCCATTTGAATGGTTCAAAAAACATTCGATTCCTATTGATAAGGAGATGTGCTGATTAGTTTTTGGCAAAGGCAGGTCCAGCAGTTACGGAGATAAAGAGCAAAGAGTTCAGAGCATAGAAATCGAGTTTTTGAGTGAACGAAGCATCCGATTTGAATGATCTGAAAAACATTCAATTAGTAATGATTGGGAGAAGTGGTTATTAGTTTTTCGCAAAGGCAGGCCGAGCCATTTCGAAGATACGGAGCTAAATGTACAAAAAATGGCAGTTTTTGAGAGAACTAAGCGTCCGATTTAAATGATTCAAAGAACTTTCTGCTTGTCTTAACAAAACAATTAATTTGGAAAAAAAAATTTGTTTCAACTTTTGTATATCGAAAATAATTCAGATTTTATTTTTAATTCTGACTATAGTTCTAATATACTCTAAACAAATATTTTCAACTTTGCAATTCAGTTTATATAATTCTTATAAATATTAGACAATATTACAATATTTATAATAATCTATTTGAAAACATTCAGTATTCCTCGAACATTTCGTTACGGTACGGGAAGTTCCAGCAATTTGCCTTAAGGCACGATGCCACCCACTCCACTAGATTATAATATGGTTACAAAAAATATAAGACAAAGAGTAGAAACTTTTAAAAATACATATATTGCATTATTACTCATAATTTTTCATATAAAATGATTTCTAACTTCCCGTAGGGTAAGTTATAGTAATCACAAAAAAATCGAAAATAAAAATTTATATATATATATATATATATATATATATATATACTTTACGTTTCAGAGGTTTCTGAACATTTTGGCATACCTTAGAAAAAATGGATGTATGTGTGTGTGTGAATACAAATTTTCGTCGACGATTTCGAGAACACGGTTCGACCGATTTCAATTATTCAAAAAACATTCGATTGCTGTTGATAAGGAGACGTGCTGATTAGTTTTTGGCATAGGAAGGTCTAGCCGTTTCGAAGATACGGGGTAAAAAGTGCCAAAAACGGTAACTCAATTTTTAAGAGAACGAAGTGTCCGATTTTAAACATAAAACATTTTACTTGTTTTGACAAGATAAACAACTGATTAAATTTTCATGAAGGCAAGTCTAGCGGTTTCGAAGATCTAGTAAAAAAAGTAAAAAAAAATGCCATTTGGCGGTCAAAAATGATCATTAGACATATGCACATAAAATTATCAGATATTTTATGAAGATTCTAACAATAAGTATAAATTTTGTTTACAATCCTATGGGTTCCGTACCAATTTTTATCCGTTAGACGACGACGCGGCGTTTACGCGCTTCAATATCGCGTCTCTATGCAGTTAAAGCAATGTGAAATTGAAAAAAAGTTCAAAATTTCAAACTAAAAAAATACATTTTTTCCAAAAGTTTTTTTTCCAAAAAAGTAATTTTTTTTTCAAAAATTTATAGTTTCGCAACTATCTAATTTTTTCAAAGTAAATTTTTTTCAAAAATGTTAATCTTTAAAAAAAAATGTTACTGGAAGTTCCAGCAATTTGCCTTAAGGCACGATGCCATGCACCCCACTAGTTGTTTCTGATATGATACAATATAGTAAGACAACATGAAGCGTATGTTATTTATCATAAAACAGATATTTTCAATGTTCTGTGGAAAACTTCAAAACCTTTGAATTCCAATAATTAAACACCTCATCATAATGTCTTTTAACAGAGCATTAACAAAATATTGATTGATTGAATCACAATATTATTCAAGTTTCAAATTTAGTCATTTTTAACTTCCCGTAGGGTAAGTTATTGTAATCGTCCAAAAGTCGAAATTGAAAATTTTGCATTTACGAGTATTTACGTTTTGAATGTTTCTGAACATTTTGGCATACCTTAGAAAAAATGGATGTGCGAAATGAATGTGAATCCAAATTGCTGGAACTTCCCGTACCGTAACCAAATGTTCGAGGAATATTAAATGTTTTCAAATAGATTATTATAAATAAATACTGTAAACATTGTCGAATATTTATAAGAATTATATAAATTGAATTGCCAAGTTGAAAATATTTGAATGAAGTATTAGGGGGACCGGAAAGTAATGTCGTTTTCTTACGCTAAATTCAAACACATACATTTTTAACGAGTCTTTATTTTTAATCAATGATGTATTCCCCATCATTGTCAATAACCTTTTGCCATCCAGTGAGTAAATTTTCAATCCCTGATCGATAAAAATTAATTGGTTTTTCGGCAAAATATCTAGAGATGGCATTTTGGATATCATCCAAATTTGCAAATGTTTTGCCACTTAAAAAGTGTTGCAGCGCTCGGAATAAGTGGAAATCCGATGGTGCAACATCGGGCGAATATGGTGGATGAGGCAGCACCTCCCGCCCCAATTCATTAATTTTTTCTAGAGTTCGCTTTGCGCAGTGCGGTCTTGCATTGTCATGTTGGAGAATGACGCCTTTTCGGTTGACAATTGCTGCCCACTTTTCAATTAAAGATTGATTTACTCGCTGCAATTGTTCTCTGTAGAGGTCTGCAGTAACAGTTTGTCCAGGTTTCAGTAATTCAAAATGAACAATGCCGCGAATACTCCACCAAACACACAAAAGCGCTTTTTTGGGGTGTAAACCTGGCTTAGCAGTACTTCGAGGGTTTTCTTTTGGAGAGAGCCACTGCCTTTTGCGTTTTGGGTTATCATACAGGACCCATTTCTCATCTCCTGTGATCAAGCGATCAAAAAACGCTTCTGTGTTGTGTCGTTGAAGCAATAAGTTGCATGTGATTGATCGGTTAGCCTTATTCTGTTCGGACAGATTATGCGGGACCCAAACACCTGCTCTGCTTACTTTCCCAATCTGCTTCAAATGTTCTTGGATGTTCTTGGATAGGTTGGTTGAGACTGTTTGACAATTCCTCGATCGTCTGGCACGGATTTGCTTCCACTTCCGCCCTTAACACGTCGTTGTCTAACGCTGATGGTCTTCCTGATCGATACGAGTCGGAAAGATCAAAATTACCCGATTTGAACTTGGAAAACCACCTTTGGCATTTATGAATGTCCAGTGCATTTGGATAAACATCGCATATGTTTTTGGTAGCAACTGTTGCGTTATTACCCTTGCGAAACTCAAAGAGCATGCAACGCCGGATGTGTACCTCTTCTGGTATTTGGCTGTCATTTTACCCAAAATTACAAAAAAAAAAATTGAAATTCAAATGTCTATAAGTAAAGAAATCACTATGTCTCACAATGTCTTTGGTACGCCTCTGAACCAAACAATGAGCTGACAAATGACAATCAAGTATTGGCATGCGCAGAAACGACATTACTTTCCGGTCCCCCTAATATATTAAAACTTAAGTAAGAATTACAATTCAAATCTGAATTATTTTCGATTTACAAAAAAAATATTTTTTGAAAAAAAATGTTTGAAAAAACATTTTTTTCATAATCAATTATTTTGTTAAAACAAGCATAAAGATCTTTGAATCATTCAAATCGGACGCTTAATTCTCTCAAAAACTGCCATTTCTTGCACATTTCAAACTAATCACTCCCCGTCATTATGAATTGAATGTTTTTTGGATCGTTCAAATCGGATGCTCCGATCTCTCAAAAACTCGATTTCTATTTTCTGCACTTTTTGTTCCGTATCTCCGAAACGGCTGGACCTTTGCTAAAAACTAATCAGCACATCTCCCTATCAATAGGAATCGAATGTTTTTTGAACCGTTCAAATCGGTTGATCTGTGCGCCCGAAAACGTGGACGAATAATTGTATCCATACATACATACATACACATACACACACACTCCATTTTTTCTGAGGTATGAAGTAAATTATTATAATTAAGAAAAATAAATTATAACAAAATTAAATAAAGTAAATATGTACAATTTACAATGCTAAGCAATTTACAGCCAAATCCTCTTAATTGTCAAATGTACTAATAAAAAATTGAATTGAATTTGAATTTATTGTAAATTATTCTGTTAGTAGCATTTTTAAGTTTTCTATCTTTGGATCTGCTTTGGATATAACATATTTTCATAAATACTATAAATTTATTCTCCAACTTACATAACATTCTCCATATCTTTGGTACAATGTTCCCATGTCAAAATAGAGCACTTGATCTATGGCCGCTCTTTCCTTAGCCCCCGATGGATATAATGAGTCGTCCTTAGCATACGCATTCACTAAATAACCCATAATAGCACGACTACAAAAAATATTTACTATCACTTTACTATTCTTACAATAATTTAAAAACCTTATAGTATAAATACCTTTCGGCTACAATAAAGCCATTGTCGTCCAGAGTCGGAATGGTATGTTGGGGATTCATCTGCAACATTAGGCCAATTGGGTAGAATTTCTTAAATTAAATAATTGACAAAGAAAAACATATCTTAGTGGGTGCATATGGAACTCGGGTGCGTCATTAAGCAATGACGTGATTTGTTAATACCAATAAGGCAATTCATCATGCTAGTAACCCAAAGCGATTAATAATTTTTTGATTAGTATTATATAATACTCAATCTACAAAGTTTACAATTACCTTAACAAAATCTGGATCCCTGGTGTCACCCTGTAACGGGTTTGTTTCTTTTATTTCCAATTCTAGTTCGATGCATCGAGCTAAAAGTAGTACACTTCTGCAAGGTGCACTAGGAGGGTAGCTGTACAAAATTGGTGCAGACATCTTCGAACAGATTACTATAAAAAACATCAACGTTTAAATTAATATTAATATTTATATAAACAAATCATAAAAGGTCGACCATTTCAACATGAAATTTATATTTCACTACACATAAATACTTCACTCAAATAATTCGAATGGTCAACTTTTAACAAAATAAAGGACACTACTCGCAATTAAATTTAATTACAAAATTCTTAAATGGAACATAAAATTGAATAATATAATTTAAAATCCCGACATATTTTGCTATAGTCTTTAGACATAAACAACAAGTTCAAATGGCACATTTGTATTGATAAAAGTTTAATGAACATTTTTAACTTGGAACTTAAAATTGGTAAAAAACTGATTACGAAAAAATGTTTGATCGATTTTGAGTTTAGTTAATTAAAAACTAGTGGGGTGCCTGACATCGTTCCTTAAGGCAAATTGCTGGAACTTCCCGTACCGCAATTAAAAATCTTGGTACGGAACCCAATAAATGTGTACACATTATTAAAATCTCTGTAATTATTAAAATATTTGATAATTTCATGTAAATATGTCCAATTAACATTTTTGACCGCCAAATGACATTTTTTTAACTTATTTTTATTGAGAGTCTATTACCGCTGGGCCTGCCTTCCCAAAAATTTAATCAGTTCTTCATCTTGTGAATATAAGTAAAATATTTTTTGAATTATTCAAATCGGACGCTCCGTTCTCTTAAAAACTGAGTTTCCGGCACTTTTTGTCCCGTATCTTCGGAACGGCTAGACCTGCCGTTGCCAAAAACTAATTAGCACGTCTCCTTATCAATACAAATCGAATGTTTTTTGAATTATTCAAATCGGTTTATCGGTATTTCCGAAATCGTCGACGAAAATTTGTATTCGCACACACATTTATTTTTTCTAAGGTATGCCAAAATAATCAAAAACCTTTGAAACGTAAAGATATATAAAAAATTTTATTTTCGATTTTTTTGCGATTGCTATAACTTACCCTACGGGAAGTTAATAAAGATCTACCTAGTAGTAAGTTAGTAAGTTTTGAAAATCAATAAAAAAAATTGTTAGATTTTTGTTTAAATTACAAAAAGTTTCGGATCAATCTTCATTTCACCAAAACACATATTCATATAATACTAGTTAACGCGCTTTTCGACAAATTTCTGGAATTTATGTGCCAAATAGATCAATAACTAACAAAATATAGAAACAAATTATAAAAAACTTCAGAATTACTATATCAGTAATTTCTATTTGATAAAAATCAAACAAAATGAGGATGTTATAAGAAAACGAGAGTAATTTTTCGATAAATAATCAAATAAAAATTATACAAAATATTTTGTGTTATTTGAATTTATATTACAAGACATTTTCAAAAACGTTTTTTTCTTTTGTAAGTTGATATATATATATATATATATATATATATATATATTGATTAAGTTCCAAGGTTAGGTATAATGCACGCACAAATAATATTTTTATTTATGATTCAATATAAGCTTTAAGATACACAACGTGGATTTTAAAGCTTGGAAAGAAAAGTACTATATCGCCACATTCGCAATTAAACTTGAAAATAAACCATTTGGTCAATTAATTTCAGATTTCGCTACCCGCCATTATAAACATTTAAATATATTTATTTAAAAATATTATTTGTGTGTAAGAACAGATATTTTTTATTTTAACTTCAACAAAATTCCCTGAAACTACTCTATTTACTTTAAACTACTCTATTATACTATAAAATAAATTAAATAAAATCCAATAAAACCGACAACAATTTGTATAAAAAAGCAAAATTAATATTATCAACAATATCTGTTCAATATCAATATTATAGATTTGCTTTCATACATAAAAAATCAAATTAAAATCAGTCAGAATAATTTTTTCCAGTAATTTATTATATGGAATATCTATTGAAGAGCTCTTTTACTGGTACTTAAAGTGTCCGACTTTTATATACAAAATTTAATAACAAATCTATAAATTGATTAATCAATTTAACATAAAAAGTAATATCCTAACATAAGTATACTTCGTATATATTCGTACAATGGAGGCTAGTTTTTTTAAACAAGCTAAAATGGTAATAAGTTTATATTAATAGTTTATTATTTTTTAAACACAAAATTCAAAACAATAGATTCATAATGAAATTAAGTAACTTGAATAAAATTTAATTTACAAAAGCTTTACTTGAGCTTTTTAAATTAATTAAGCAAACATGATTTAAACTAATTACTCACACCACAACTACTTTTGCATTAACGTGATGATAATGGAAAAGGCTCAATAATATCTAAAATTGTTATTTTATATGCTTTAATTGCCAAGCTATACTGCTGAATATATATATATTCTGATAGTATATCCGCTTCAGCGGATATACTATCCTGCTGAAGCTTTTAAAGCGATATAGAAATGTTCTAGAAACTTACAGAAACAATAAAAATGGAAATGATGTAATATGAAATGAAGAAAAAAGTAAAAATTGAATGCAAGATAGACATCTATCAATTAAATACATACAATTAGATAAATTTTTCGATTTATCTGATTTGGTTCACCACTTCTCCGAATAATTCCGTCCCAGCTCACGAGTCCAAAATTACTGCAAGAATGATGTAGAATAAAGCATGACCTTATCTTGCGATCGAATTTTCCGTCATTGCCATCGCGGATATCAAACTGTGGGAAAACATGACTAAATCAAATCATTTTGTATCTGATATTATTTTTAAGCGAAATTGAATTACCTTCTTAATTAGAATTAAGACAGACACAAAATAATTTCATAGACATATCTAGTGCTTATAATTTAAGTACACATATTTGATTAACTTCCCAAAGTAATGTTTTTATTTTCGACAGAAAATATGATTTCAAAATTTTAAAAGTCATTTAATGTAACTCAATAAAGACACGCGCAGAATTGGCGGCAATGTTCAAAACTTTTCTTTCAAAAATCCTGAACTGATTTAAAAATCCAATTTCTTTTTAAAGATATCTGTAGAAAATTGTTTTGAATCGTTTTTGATGAAGATCGACCAGGTTGTTTATTCGTAAATTAATTATTTGTTGAATGTTTCTACCTATTGGAATAAACTTTTTGACGCCGAAGCTTTTGGCCATACAAATAAAATATTATGAACCTATAAAAGGTAATTTAATTATAACTAGTTGGTAGTTGGTATTTTGCCTTGAGGCAAGTTGCATAAACATCCCGATTTGTGTAAATAATCGACTTAATTCATGATAGATAAATTAATTTATGAGTAGTTAAAAGTATTCGAAGTGGATTTATTACACATTATTGAAAGTTGAACACGTCAACCCGGTCGGAGTATTTTTTAAAAGCAAATTTTCAGAAACCAACAATTTTTATAATTGAACCACTTTCCGTAGGACTTTTTTAATGGTTCAGTATGTTCATTAAGACCAAGTACTCTATCGTTATACCAAGCAAATCGTCTATTTTAATTTTAACAAACGTCACTCATTTTCTAAAACTTTGATGATTTTTTAAAATGAAACTACTTGTCGTAAGGCCGTAATATTTCAGTAAGTTCTATAAGATCGCCAAAAGAAGTTTCATGAAAATTGGCTTAAATTTTTTTTTCAACTGTTAATCACAAGAAAACGGCTCGGTAGATTTTCATCTAAAACTAATCAGTATCATTCCCAACTAATATCTTTCGAACAGTTTTTGATTTTTTATAATCGATTCGGTAGTATGAGCTTAAATGTGGATGAGAAGTTTAACACTTTTTTCCAAATTACAAAGAAACGGCTAGGCCGATCGTCGCACAAAACTGAGAAACGATAATTCTCATCGAGATACATCAAATGGTTTTTAAATTTCTGAAATCGGTTCAGGCGTTTTTGAGCAAACGTCGATGACTAATTTTGACAAATGCCAGAAAGGCCATACTAATTTTTGCAAACTTTGACGAATTTTCAAAGCTAAACGAGTTGTTATAGGGCCATAATATTTTAATATGATCCAGAAGACTATGGTATCCAGCGTCCAGCGGTTTCGGAGATACAGAGCTAAATGTGCAAAAAATGGCAGTTTTTGAGAGAACTAAGCGTCCGATTTGAATGATTCAAAGGACTTTCTGCTTGTTATAACAAAATAATTGCTTTTGGAAAAAAAATTAGGTATATCGAAAATAATTCAGATTTTAATTGTAATTCTGACTTAAGTTCTAATATACTTTAAACCAATATTTTCAACTTTGCAATTCAGTTTATATAATTCTTATAAATATTAGACAATGTTAGTATTTATAATAATCTATTCGAAAATTTATTCAATATTCGTCGATGATTTCGTTAGGGTATGGAAAGTTCTAGCAATTTGCCTTAAGGCACGATGCCGTACATTCCACTAATTTAATTTAATTTGTTCTTCATATTAATATAATCACATACAAAGTGATTATATACTCCTAAGCGTTTTACCCAACGTATTAAAAATTTGAAAAACAAACTAGATTTAAAAAAAATTATTTATGTTTATTAAAAATTACATTTTTAAATTACACAAATAATCCGTTTCGCATAACTTGGGATTCGTGCGACTTCAAAGTAAAAGTATGTAGTATACATGAATAAATATTGATTTTATACAAGTTATGTAAAAATAATTATTGATCGAAATCACTTATTAGTATTCTCAAAGCAATTTATTTATATTGATAATGAAAAAAATTAATTGCATGAAAATGCACATACGTACGACTTCATGCTAGTTTTATGCTAAAACTAGCATTTTTTCTGAAAAATGATTAGATTAAATTTTGAGGCTTACAATTTAAATACAATAATCCAGCGTTACTGTTCGAAATTCTATGATCACCAGTGAAAAAATATTATTTTTTTCTTAAAATATATGAAATATAAGGTTGTTCCTATAGAAATCTTATTTTGTCAAAAAAAAACATAGCTCACATGGTAATTTATATCTTAAAAGTCAACTTAGGTATTGTTTTAAGAAATCAAAAAAAACTCTTCTACTTTTTTAATGTCACATTTTTGGCATTTGTTTGTGTAAATTATTATTATCACAGGGCCCTTGAATGTAGCAAAATAGTTTACGGATTTCTTTGTAATATTCTCCAATAATCTAATTGGCTTTTGTGAAATAATTGGAACAGTAAATACTGAGTAAATAAATAAAATATTTTGGAGTCAAATTTTCGTAGCTTTCTCTTTAAAAATTTCTTAAAGCTTTTTCAAATGGCTGAATCGAATTTCTGGTGATATTTTGTAAATATAAATATCAAAAAATTATTTCACCTATCTAAAATTCCTCGCTGTACTTTTGGCTAGCCAAATAATTAACGTATATCTTTGCTCTTTTAAACAATAGATAAGTATTGAAAAAAATCGAACTCGAAGTCATTTTCCAGCTACGCTTTCTTCGGAAATGTTTCTTATAATCCTAAAAGTAAGTCCTAGTAAATCCTACAAATTGACCAGCTTTAATATATATTACATTATTCTAATACGTTGAGAATCAACATGGTTATTGACTAGCGCATGAATTCGTCGGAAATGTGTTTCCATCAACCAGAAATAGAATAAAAATCAATACTTGCTTTTTATTCTCAAAATTTAACGCGTTTCCTTAATTGACTATTCAATAATAAATTTATGAACTGAATTTTTCATTGACAGTATTCGTTTTTTAAAAATTCTCAAAATGCTCGGCGCTTCTTTCGCATATTTTCTTCAGTAATTCCATAACAGGAAACTTTGTAAAATAAAAATGTTTACTTATCTTTACGTTTCAAAGGTTTTTGAACATTTTGGTGTACCTTAGAAAACATTGATGTATGTGTGCGTGTGTGTGCGGATACAAATTTTCGTCGACGATTTCGAGAACACGGATCAACCAATTTAAATAATTTAAAAACCATTCGATTTGTATTGTAATTATTCAAAACAATTATTGTTTATTTTCATTTCTCGGATGTTAAATTACGGTACGGGAAGTTTTCCTGAAAGCAAAGGCACGATGCCATGCACCCCACTAGTTAATTCACAATATTTTATTAAGAACATATAAAATTGAACAGTTTTTTCCATTCGCCCAATTAAAACCTTCATCGCCTAGTATGTTAACATTCAAATATTTGGATAGATTGTATTGAATCTCAATAAAATGCGACAGAATACGTGTAGGTACAACCGACAGAAGAACAGATAAACAGTTAAAAGTAAAATGAACAGCAGTCATATTTGTATAAGCATTTCACTAAATGATTATGAAGTATATATAAATTCAGAAAAAACAAAAACAAGACAAAAGTCCCGTATTGGCCGGGGCAGTCTCAAAAGCAATATTTATACTGGATTCAAGTTTCGTTTCCAGGATTTTGCCAATTTTTGAAATATTTTTTTTTAACTTTCCGTAGAAAAGTTCCGTCACTCACTTTTTGCTCCGTATCTCCGAAACGGCTGGACCCGCTTTTGCCAAAAACTATCGGAAATCACAACTTCTCCGTATTAATAGTAATCAAATGTTTTTTGAATCATTTAAATCGGTTGATTCGTGCGCCCGAAATCGTGAACGAAAAATTGTATCCCAACATACACACACACAAAGAGCCATTTTTTCTGAGGTATGCCAAAATGTTCAGAAACCTTTGAAACGTAAAGATATGCAAAAATTTTCATTTTCGATTATTTTGCGATCACTATAACTTACCCTACGGAAAGTTGAAAATATGGTCAACTTATATAAAAAATTGTATCATATGTTATACAATAAAAATGATGACATTACGAATATTTTTTATCCCTAATAGTTATTATTTTTAGAATAATAATAAATCAAAATATATATTGTATTTTCTCATAACAGGTATATTTTTCAATTTTACAGGATCTACATGATTTGGAAGAATCGAAAATACCCTTTTGCATAGTGTCTTGAAAGTGTTTCAAAGGCATTGATTTTTGTTTCATTTACAAGTTGAAAGTTATAACTAGTATAATATCTGGTATATTGTAAATCATTTTTTTTATAAACATAAAATTTATTGTAGTGATATCGATATATAGTCACTTTTTTCACATTTTACGAATGCAATGAAGATTTGCAATTAATAGAAATTATGGAAGGGCGTTGCTCTTGATATAACCTTTAACACATTCTGAAATAATTATCTATTTTTTGTGAATCGCGTTTTGAATTCGGAATATCACTATTAACCATGTAAAAAATGAATAAATAAACGGTGAATACACTTTTAAAATAATTTATGTAAACATACGGTGAAATCAACATTTGACAAATAGAATTGCTACCACCATCTCTCGTAAGAAAATTTTAGTACATTTATGAAAAGGTAGAAAATTTAATAACAATTGTATGAAAGTTTATTCAAATCCAAACAATAATTATAATTTACTTAAGTATATTACCTCTTTTCGGTAGAATTAAATTTGTAGATGAGTATCGCAGTAACTGGGAATTATATTTCCGAGCAGAACACACAAGTTTAGGATGTGTGAGCAGAATTTTTTTTATTCAATTTTGTTCTGCAATCTGTATATATTATATTGTTAAGCAGCGATCCTAAACGATCG